TTACATCTTGCCTTCACACAAAAAACCCGTCATCAAATCCTTCACTGAATCGAATAGGGTTGCGTCACGATACACGCACACCATGAAATATGTTACCTGTGAAAACTAAGATCGTGTGAACTTTCTAACATTTGTAAATTGACTTTCCAGCATACGTACAATGTATAATCACTGCATCAATCTCCTCGACTGGAAACACGCCAATACACGAGACCTATTTAATAGATGGGTTTGAATAACTGTCAATTTAAGTGAAGTTGAATGGATATTAATTTGGCATACTCACTTTCCTTCTCATACTCATCTACTTTTCAGTTTGATAAATATTCGGCGAATTATATAGCATGGCAATGGCAAAAATTGGAACTTTAAAGGCTTTGTCGAGATTGGCCAGTATAAGCGAAAACAGGGCAATTGTACTTCTTTTCTTAATATTCTTTTCCGAATATGGTGTTTTTATTTTTATTTCTTTTGTCTTTTTGAAAACTGATGAAATTGCGAAATCGTACGCCTCAAATTTTGAGTTTCACGAAGGCACAAAATATCAATCAGGCGTGTTTTGTAAGTCCGGTAACCATGTTTAGTGATGTATTTTGTCACGTCTGTGATAATTTGAATAGACAAATTTATGCTATTATAAATATTATGAATGGAACCCCAACCGCCGTCCCCTACCAAGGTAACTATTAGTATATATTTTAGATTAAACTTACTGGGGGAAACACAGTTTTACATGAAGTCTAAAGTATTATTCCCGGACATAGCTTATTCTAAAGAAAGTCCATGGTCGACTTGTGGTTTTGCGATAAAAATATATATTTGTGGTTTCTTTTAAAGTGGCGGTGTCTGTGTGGGACTGTGCCATGCAGTACTATTAACTTTTTCCACGAAAAGCAATACGTGTCTTGTGTGATCGTTTTAAACTTGTATCAATTATCATAACACTTGTGTAAAACTCGATTTTGAAGTACGGTCGCCAAAAATAAAAATTCGCCGAAATGAATAATTTACAGGACCGTATACAATATATTATCACCCATAATATACGTGATAATTGTTTAGCGTAAGTACCACGTAAACAAACTAAATCTAGGGTAAATCATGTGAACAGTCTACGCTTATACAGACTTTGCTTGTAGTATACAAGTAAATCATTGACAAAAGTAAATAAAACAGAAAAAACAAACGCAAAAAAGAAACCGCTTTAGTAGCCCGAGTTTCCTCTGGCCCGGACAAAATGGCTAAGTCTGGTGTCAAGGCCAGAGGAAACTCGGACTATCTATCTGTCAAAATGTCCAAGTCTAGTGTCAGGGCCAGAGGAAACTCGGGCTATCTATCTTTCAAAATGTCTAAGTCTAGTGTCAGGGCCAGAGGAAACTCGGACTATCTATCTGTAAAAATGTCCAAGTCTGGTGTCAGGGCCAGAGGAAACTCGGGCTATCTATCTGTCAAAATGGCCAAGTCTGGTGTCAGGGCCAGCGGAAACTCGGGCTATCTATCTGTCAAAATGTCCAAGTCTAGTGTCAGGGCAAGAGGAAACTCGGGCTACACCACTTAAGGATCTTCGTACCGCTATAAGTTACGATTATTTTTATAACTTTCTGGGATACATGTTTACATGTTCCTGGAATATATGTTAAATGGACTACGAAGAAAAATAAAAATTTGTAACAAATGGCGTATAGAACATTTACACCTAAATATAGTATATTGAATACGGCATACTAAGTAAATGGGCTTATCTTCAGAAAATAAATAATGAAGCTGATAAGATTATAAATCCTTTAAATTTATACAATGAAGTCGCCAGTCACTATGTGATTATAAATAAAAAAATATTTGTTTAGATCAAATTACAATCATCGACCATGTCAGCAGCTTCTTCAAACTCAAATAGCACAAATACCTACCATTCGCCATTAGGTCAGTATGTTTCCTATATAGTAAAGTTATGAATGCCACTCCTTTACAAGTTGAATTATCATCTATAAAAACCATCATTATCTCCTAACAAAATTGTTCGAAAAATGTAGATGTGCAAATGACTTGAGCAGTGTGACTTCGATAGTCAAGACACCATATGCATTTTCCTTCTCCATGCAAGTTATCACTGGATCCGTTTCCATGGAGAAGGAAAAATCACATGGTCCGGGATACACTGATATATTATTACTTAATACATTATGGAAGTCAGCTTTAAATTTGTTATATTATCTGTTATATGCCATCTTGATCATTTGTAGTAATATATTGTAGGGAAAGGGCTCAATATAAGTTGTTAAACTTGTGCCAAACTCCCATTGTATGTAAATTACAATAAATTATGTTTAAAACAAAAACTTTGTGTGCGTCTATCAATTTACCTCACCGTTAATGTTCCAAAGACAGATCCGGACACTTGTTAGAAGGAATGATAAAATAATCTCATAAGTTCGAATGCTTTTTGAGGGTATTACAAAATAATCTAGCTAATCTGGACACTTGGTTGACGGTATTACAAAATAATCTAGTTAGTCCGGACACTTGTTTGAATGTAAAATTAAATAATCTAGTTAGTCCGGATACTTGTTTGAACGTATAATAAAGCAATCTAGTTAGTCCGGACACTTTTTGAAGGGAAAAAAAACGATCTCGCTACTCCGGATACTTGTTTGAATGTATAATAAAATAATCTATTTAGTCCGGACACTTTTTTGAAGGGAAAATAAAATAAGGTCGTTAGTCCGGAGGCTTGTTAAAAGGTAAAATTAAATAATCTTGCTAGTCTGGATATTTGTAAGAAGGAATAATAAAATTATGTCGCTAGTCCGGACACTTGTTAAAAGGTAAAAAATAATAATCTCGCTAGTCCGGACACTTGTTTGAAGGTATAATGAAATAATCTTGCTAGTCTAGACACTTGTAAGAAGGTAAAATAAAATAATCTCGCTAGTCCGGACATTTTTTTTTTGAGCCATGATTTTTTTCTTCTAGCATGTTACTGGATATTATTGTTATTTTTGTCTCATATATTTGCATTTTATTTAGATTCCGGAAAAAACAACGAATTCGGTTTAATCAGGGTTTCTATCAAATATCAAAAAGTTCCTGATAAATTCATTAGTAATCTGAAGGTACTTTTCGAATGGTTTTTGTAAAGAAGTACTTGTCGATACTTACAAACCTGAAGAAAATGTTTAGAAGTACTGGTTTATATTTTTTATAGATTCATATACATATATGCTACAAAAGTAAAAGTCGTTCTCTCAAATCACATCCTGACCCCCCACACATATCTTTATCTACTGTATATACATGTAGATATTGTGTTGGCAAGAAAGCGGTACCGGCCTATATAAAACCTTTAAAAATATCTAACATCTTGACAAATTTTACGATAGAATAGGTTTAAAACTCCCACACTCAAACTCGCATTCATTCAACATAAATTAACGTATATATCATTTGATATAACGAGATACCAGGATATACTCGAAATTACGATATAACTGACCTTTAACCGACTTTCTTCGTCATTAATAGGAGTGTGTAATATTTTTTTTTATATTTTTATAAACATAAACACTTACGTGTAAGAAAGACTTCGTGCCGGAAGAGGCACGTGATCAACGTGCCGGAAGAGGCACGTGATCAAATGATAGAACGTTCACGATATGTATCCTTCCTTAAAAGAGTATCACTCTGAACACCAGTGTTACGCATACGCGTGTAGTTGTTGAATGTTCTTTGGAGGTTGGATTTATAAAAAGAAGAAATAATTAAAAGGTATTTGAAATGAACATGCATAGACACATTTCAATTATCTTTTATTATGTTAATTTATTTTAATAATCTTAAGGGAAATAACTCTTACATATACATCTTCTTTTTCTTTTAACCAGGTGATTGTAGTTGATATTTTTTCAGATTCTGTTCTTTTCTGTATCTTTTCTTTACTGTCATCTATATAGAATAATCTATCATATTTCACCATTTAATTGATTATTCATTTTTTAACTCAATAAATCGAAGCTAATCAGTCAGCATGTCAATCCATAAATCAGTAAATCAATCACCACACGATCTACGTAAAAACATTTTTTTTTTCGAGTGAAACAATATCTTATTACTATCCCTATGGTTTAATTATTAAAAAAATACTTTATATTAAATATGACAAGATCAAATATTAAAACCGACACAAATAATAATTTGAAACGCACACTGTCTTTTGATTAAGCACACATAGCCAAATCTGTATCGAGTTTATTATTATTTTATAATCTTCTGTATTTAAAAAAAAATAAAAAAAAAAATGACTTAATTAACTCAAAAATCTAATTTTGTCAATGATTTAGAACAAATTTGAAGAGGCTTAAAGCCAAATACTGTTTATGTTTGCATTTGACTTTTTTATCGTTTTACATGATTTTTAGGGAGTAATATATTATACAGTACGAAATGTTGTTATATATATACATATATTAACAAGATCATCAATGTCTCTCTACGAAACAGAAATTCAGTATTCCGAAATGTGCAACTTGAAAATTAGAAAGACAATTAACGATAGGTTAAATACTTAATCTGAATATAGTTGTGTGTTTTCTAATTGTGGTTAAAGTATTTCATTATACATGTATATTCAGCTAAGTTTTGTCGATGTTTGTAAACTTAATCACATATCTTGGGGGAGAGTTCGTTGATATTGTTGCTAAGTTGTATCCGATGTTCTTATCGCAAGTCTACTATTACGGTAAATGTGTCAAAATTAGTATATTGTACAATTATTAACTTCTTTCAAGTTTATGAACGTGTAGAATAGGTTCGTCCCCTAACGTACATGATATTGACTATCCTCCTCTCGGTGTACAGCAGGCGATTATACACATGTGCAAATAAATTTGAATTGAATTATTATAATGTGTTTAAGCATTACCAATGCGGTCAAGTTACCGAAATGGTTAGTTACCTTTTTTTTAAATAAATGTCTGTATAAATGTTGTAATAAAATGGCTATCAGCCGCAAGTCTTAAAGCTTATAAACAACAATCGCTATTTGTTGGGTATAATTTTAAATAATTATTACATACGTGTATGTATCATCAGCGCACGGTGATTAGTTTTCAAATAACTCAATCTTTGAACGTTCCTAAGGTTTCGCATTCATTTCACGCTTATCATCGGTCACGCACAAGTAACAAGCCCTTATATGACAATCCCATATGTGTACACATGTGATGGAAATACCGATATAAACCGAAACGCACTATAGAATTTATAGGGAATTTCCCTAGCTAAAAATAGACACAGCACAACGAAGAATTGTGGATCCGACATCAGTGTTATTGATAGGCTGACGGTAAGTCCATTTTCGCTAGAATTGACAGAGAATTTTCACATTTATAATGGTTCAACATGTTTTTATTAGACTGTTTATATATAAGGCTATATTTTCTGAAACCATAATGCATACGAAAAGGTACAAACCCTGCAAATACTCTAAATTTTCTAACGTCCTCTATCGCCTTGTTGTTCAGGCCCATGTATCGAGGCTCGCTTACATGGGGTTCACGAAGGGGGGGTTTTGTCGCAAAAATTTGTATCTCCAAACAGAACAAACTCATTGCAACAATATCGATCTTAAATACTTATTTTGCATGATGATTTTTTTTATTCAATTCAATTTTTTTTCTGTTTCAGTGGTTTTAACTTAAATAAAGAGAATACATATCAAGGTACATAATGAGTATGGAAGGCAATGCAAACATAAGTGGAGCAGAGCTCACGTTGAGCTTGGAGCAGGAACGAGACTCATACAAAGAAAAGGTAGACCATATGAAAATGCTGGTGAGACAATATAGCCAGGAATTACAGTCACTTAAGATCAGGAAGGAAGGAGTAGAAACTGTTTCCAAACTTTTACAAGAAGCCAGACAAGAAATCGCATCATTGCAAAAGAAATGTAAGACACAGGACACTGCTATCAGAAATCTACAAAGTCGGTTAACGTCGAACGGATTTTCTGGTGGTATTACTATGGAGGAAGGAGATATCTTTATGCCCGGAACGTCTAACCAACTTCTGGATAATTTAACCAGGGAAAATACCCGACTACGAACCCTACTTCGGGGCGCCTCTATCAATCCGGAAGAGCTGAACAATTTACATCAGGTTCGTTTGTACGTCACTGATTGGTGTGGATTTAGGCCAATCGTTCGACGTATCTGGTTTTTCCGCTTCTTGCGTATCACAACGAGGTCAATTTGTAGAATATCGTAGGGGATTTCATAAATTGTTACGGAAATAACGACTACGAAGCAAATACCGAATATATTTCTCTATAAAGTAACATACATTCATACAATATTTATGCATCGAGTTTTCAGGTAAACTTAGTTTCTCGATACATTTACTAACTCAAAAACTAGAGGAAAATGAAAAATGAAATAAGAACACATTTGACGGTAAACTATTTTTATGGATCTATTTTGAATTGTAGCTATTTACTTGTTCATTTATAATCTTAATTTTCTAGACATCGTATTAGAATTTAAAGTAATTTGTAATACTGAAACGGACATAACGTAATCTTCATTTACATATAATATCTCTAGTTTTAGGGCCATAATCTTCATTTACATATAATATCTCTAGTTTTAGGGCCATTCATTGATTAAGAGAGATAAACAATCTGGTGTCTGTCAACATATGAGTTGTATGTGTCATTTGTAAAATAGAATATAAAACAACTAATTAATATCATTACTGTTGTTCATTAGACCCGTCTGTTATTAGTAAATTTACTGTAGTTGGTGATCATATGTATATGCCATTCGTCATTTGTTACAATTGAATATAAAGCGATTAACATCATTTGCCAATCAACCGACGCGTTTTTAATTAGTAAACTCACTGTAATTAGTTATTATTTATATCAGTCATTCATATTTAAAACTGCTTAATACCTAGACGTCATTTAATACGATTATTTTCGGGTCGATTTTATTTTATCTTTCATGAAATTAATTTGTATCTGTGTTTTTTCGGTATTTTGGTGTGTGTTTTTAAATAAAACATTCTTTAGTTAATATCTCCGATTGATATTTTGAAACAGGTGTTGAAGAAGAAAGAGGAAACAATAGGCAATCAGACTAGACAATGCGAGGAACTACAGATACGTTTTAATGAACTAGAACAACTAATGGGTTCATCGGAAAATGTGAAAGATCAAACCATCTCAACGTTGCAGACAACAGTCCATAAAATGAAAGAAGAGTTCCAAACACGTGACGTTTTATGTCATTCTCTCGCGGAGGAGACCACCAATCTGCGGCAGCAACTTCATGACGTTGCTGTCACGTGTCAGCAAATGGCGTTGAGATTGGAGCGAAACGAAAAAGCTTCCCGCGCTCTGGAACCTAAACTGACAACTTCGAATAAGGTAGAACACAATAACACATTGTACAAAAACTTTGTGTGTAATATTTCGAATATAAATTGTAAAACAAATCAATTATAAATGAAATCTGAGTAAAACATTATTTCGACTTGGTATAAAATTCTTGATTTTGATTGCACATTGATGAAGAAATTATTTTTTTTCTCTTGTAGATGAACGAAAGCAGCAATGAAGCGAAAGAAAAACTGGTCCAAGATAACCGAATACTGCAAGAAAAAGTTGATGAGGTATATTTTCTATATGCACGTGTACGCAAAATAATTAGCAAATAACCCTTGCTTCTGCCCAAAGCTTATGGAATGTATAATACTATTTTCGTAAATATAATTGTCTTATCATAAACAAATAGTAATACAGGGGGACTTAATTAAACCACTTTCTGTCAAATAAATCGGATACAAGAAAGCTAAAATATAAAATATTGTGACTAACCCCGTCCTTATACGACCCTGTCTGTTGCCAGGACGTTAAACCCCAACCAAACAAACTGTGACTTAACAACAAAAAAATGAATAACCGAAGCGGCACAATTTGTATGTGTTTCGGTCCAATGCTTGAATTGACAGACCGTATGGTTCGTATTTTGTTCTTGGAAGGTTTCATAAATTTATGTCAAGATAATGGTTATATTTAAATATTGATAAACTTTATCATCGATAAAATGTCATGAATAATTAACTTACATGTCTGATTGTTTGTCGTTTCAGGTTGTTACGATGAACAAGAGATGGCAGGAATACGAAACTCAAAGAGAACAACATGTTAAGTATCAGGAGGCGGCCATTCAGACGCTGCAGGGTCAGTTAGCTGCCGCCCAGGCCAATCAGTTGTCCTTTGGGAGGTCTAAGATGATCAACCAAGCCCTCGACGAGGCCAAAAGACGTCTAGCTTATGCAGAGGAAGAAAAGCGAAGAGTAAGTATACTTTAAACATATGTATTGCCAATAAAATTGAACAAGGGATTGGGCACAAGTTATTACAACTTATCTAATCCCTCTCCCGTCATACACACAGGTACAAATACACAACTTTAAAAAAGCATCGTTCAAATGTTTTAGCTGGATTTGACGTAGTGATACACATGTCTAAAAACGTAAGAATTAAGGTCCGTCGAAAAATAGGAACTGCCAAACAAAAGAATCTCTAAATTTAAATCTATACCTAAGGCATTCAAATTTTGAAACAAAATACGCCTTTTATTGCTAAAAAGTTTACCCTCAAAGAAAAGTGAAAGGCATTCTCACATGGATGTCCACAGATGAAATGGACTCGACAAGATTAACTCTGTAAGGGAACTACAATTGTGCCTCAGTTTAGTATGTATGATATTTAATTTACATTCTCCAAAACTGAAGTAGATCGGAGAGAAAGTTCCACCAACTTGTACAACAGCCGCGGAGAGTTTTTAACGTCCTTTTCTGATTAAACCAAACGTATAAAACAAATTATTTACATCTTACATTTCAAAGATTAGAAAAAAAATGTTTATTTTTCGAATTTTGGCAAAGTAAACATCACATAATCGGATATTAGGAAAAGATGGGCATCAACGATATTGAAATCATATTTTCTAGGTGCAAACACGTGTGTTTCATTTCACGAATTTCATTTGTTAAATGATTATGTTGACTTAAAGCTATTTTCTTGCCTCACAATAGTGAAGTGCGTTTTGAAATGATTAATACGGCTTCGGATTTGTAGAAAAACAATATTTTTCGTTATAGAGTGAAGACCATATAAGCTGCTTAACTTTTCTTATACTGTTTTACGAGAAATATAGATATGTTCTTTAAAAACAGTATACACATTTGTTTTATCTTTTTTTTTTCATACCAAGTACAACCAAATTCCTACATTTGCAATAGTGATTCAGGAAGTTGACTTAGATATACAATCGCATGCCGCAAATTTATGACGTTCCTCAATAACTTCAGGGCAAACTTGCTGATAATTTTGTTTTTCTCATTTTAGCTTGAACAGGAGCTAATGGAACGGAACCAAACTTTGATTGAGCAGACGACAGAGGTTGAACGTTTAAAGAACGAACTTGACCTTGCCCACCAGGGCAGTGGTACCATTCTCCGAAGTGACGTAGAAATCATCGATGCATTGAAGGCACAAATCCAAATATGTACGGAAGATTTTGAGTCGGAAAGGCGCGACAGAGAAAAGGCCCAGAGCAAAGTTTCAACCCTGGAGGCAGAGCTTCAAAAAGTCAGAATGGAGGTGAGTGCTTTCATTTTTGACCTCCCGAAAAACAAACTAAAATATATAAAATCTTTTATTGTCGATTTCCTTGTAAGCATATGATCATTAATATTCATTAAGTTAATGATGTACTTATATATTAAGAAAATGTATGGTTGTCCGTTTCAAGTTGGGCAGATAAATACAGTATATAGTGTTTAAGTGAACCCTATGAACACTTATTGAATACACGTACAACAGGAAAACTAATAAAAGAAAAGAAAATTATTGATCAATAAATCCATGGGAATTTCTGTTCACTGCAACTTCATCTATCGTTTTCAGAGAGATCGGCATTTGCAAGCAACTACTCAACGTGGTGAACCCCAGTATAATGCTCCTTACTACCCGAACCAAGACTTCTACAACAATTTTGACGTGCCAAACAATTACCAGAATGTTCCTCATTACCAGGTATGTGTATCTCAGTTCCCGGTCACTTTTCGTACAATAACATTACATGAGTTACTGAATTCATTCATAATTTCATATGAAAGCTGCAGAACACGAAACAGGATTCGGGGAAAGACTTAATAGATGCTTTAAGCTTATTTATACTCCCTGTATTATCTATATCATTTGTATCAAGTAGTTACAAAATACAAATCAAAAGCAACAACAAATCACTTTTTAAAGTTGCTTTTTTATGAAATATATTTTAGCAATTAACTCAACTCGAGCGAATTTCATATCCCACTAAATTGTCGCTGTGCACAGAGTTAAGATCGAAATAATGATAGAATCTATGTGTAAACAGATATCCATAAAGTTATTTTTTGTCTTGTTGAAAAATAAACAAAAAGTTCCTTTAAGCTCACAAATAAATCCTTTTGGAACTGAATAAATGAATTTTGAAAATGAAATGAGAAAAAATCATGTCCTCAAGTTTTGTATCGAGTGGTTATATACTGTTTTTCTTAATGTCCTTTTTTTGTTAATGTTTATTTGGAAAGGGAATATTTGCAATACATAAATATGATATCGGGACAAACCCACAGATTCATTCGTATATATAGTCCGCCCATCACCGTCATTACACTACCCCCATCTTATTCTTGATAACAATTTAGTACTTGACCAATGTCATCGTCATACAATCTTCTTATTCTTGAAAACAATTTAGTACTTGACCAATGTCATCGTCATACAATCTGCTCCTTCTTGATAACAATTTAGTACTTGACCAAAGTCATCGTCATACAATCTTCTTATTCTTGATAATATTTTAGGACTTGACCAAAGTCATCATCATATAACCCACCTATTCTTGACAATATTTAAGTTCCTGACCAATGTTCAATTACTTTGCAGAATGAATTAGCGACACGAGGACCACAGAGACGACACGACCACATCGAGGACAACGTGACCGATGGTGCCGTCCAGATGGATGCACCGCCATCATGCGCCGAGAAGAAAGACGCGGAATCTGTAAGCGCCATCGATTCAACTTATAAAAGTGGTATGACCGACCTAGAGGACGCGCCGCTGTTGTCGACCGACAGAGATACCTTCCTAGATGACATTGAAGAAACAACGTGTATTGACGGTATTGACGTCACTGACGTCACTGATCGTGCATCCCCAAGGTGTTCACCTAGATCTTCACAAAGAGAATTATTAACTTGTCCAAAGTGTCGAAAGGAATTTACAAGTGATAAGCACGGAGAATTGCTCGAACATATAGAGTTATGCTGTGATTAGTGTAGTTGAAATTGCATCATACAAACAACAACTGGCGATAATATTAATTACTACAAGTTGACACTAAACCGTGTTGACTGTATCTTGCAATTTCAACTTACACATTCTCCTAGCGAATCCCACAACCGACCCCAGGATGTGAAAGATTCGAGGAAAGGATCCAACCCGGAGATCCTCCCAGAACTGCCCCGAAATGGTAGGTTCCGGAAATCGCATCAAGACTGCACTCCCAGCATTCACAGTCTGACCACAAACCGGAGAATATGGAAAGAAGAAGGAAAGGGAATGACGGAACACATGAATAGGAAAGTTGGTAAAAGAAATAACAGTCCATTCATAGGCATAGTTTGATACTTAGCCTGATACTAAGCGAGAGTCAAATGGTTAGGTATTTCAAAACAGGACGGTTGTGGTTTTAACAAGTGAGAGTCACAAATGAGATAACTGTATGTTTGCAACAAGGAAGATTTGATTACAAGATACCGGAAATCAGGAAGAGGAAGAGCACGCTATTACAATAAGCGCTTTTATTGGTTGGAGCAACGTCGTCTGTAACACGAAAAACTTTTATGAGGAAATCCGTCCAGAAAGTAAGGGGAAGGATGTTTAGAAATACCCTCAACTTTCGTTCAGACGATCAACACTCTCGTGTACTTGAAATAAACAATGCATCTTCGTCATGTTGCCAAATGCATGTCCATAATGATACATAAGTTTACTGTCGTATCCTTGATTTTTCGTTTATCGACCGACCCATACACATTAAATATAGTTGATATCTCGTATTAGCGGATGCAGATGCGAAATACGATCATTAAACCAGCTACACGGATGTAGCATCATTAACGATAATCATGCATCCGTATATAATGACTGGGCGTGGAGATATACTGGAATGAACAATTGACAATAGTAGATCAGTTTTAGAGGTCGACCAGTGGTTTTGATTACCTAATATGATAACATATTGGGTCCACTGTATAGAGAATTACATTGTACCTAGTGTGCTGTATCTACACATTCCCCCCACAAATTATATTTAGCTCTGATGTGACGTTCACACTTGATTACTATATAAACAATGACTTTTATTATATAAACAATGACTATTATTATATTAAAAATGACAATGCATACATGTTTTACCGGTTGTGCCAATATTAGTATTTAAGCTGATTTCATGAACTGTTGAAACAGATATAACATGTATCGATACTAGCCATTACAAATTTTGTGACATGAAGTTCCATCTTGCGGGACAGGATGACTTTTTGTCACGCCCATGTAATATTTTTGTTTATAATCGTTTGTCAATGTTTGTTGTTTATTTCCATTCTTTGTTACTATTAAATCTGTTGCCAATATGTAATCCCTGTCATTGTGTTATTTGGATACAATTGTTGCTTTATTTGAATTACGCTATTATCTTCTTGTATATTTTATTATGTTATATTTAAAGTAGTTAACTTTGGCTTTATGTAGAAACATTAAATCATTTAATTTTATCTAGTTATAACAGCTTTGATGCAGTTACATTATATTTGATATGATTATAAACGGTTTACAGAAATTGCATTTGATTTAATATTATAGTTCTAAAGTTTTGTTAAATTATCATTAATCTAGATAATATTTAATTAAATTTGACGTGAATTTTTTAATCTCATAATACTGTACATATAATTTATCTTCATTCAGAAAAGATCTAGTTATTGTGATTGTATATTTGCCTCTTCTGAGCAATGAATTTCAAAATACATTGCTAGTTTAGATTTTCCAGTTTTAAGAACTAGGTTCGGAGTTAAGCATTGTGTGGAAGATATCATCGTGCGTTTGAAAATAATATAAGCTCCAAACTATAGCATCGAGTGGAGCGAGTTTCCAGATAATATAAGCGTGGATTACGAATGATCACTGAATACAATTATCGTGTGACTTGCTATAATGGGTTGTGAATATCGAGGATGACAATGACTGGTTAAGACCATTGTCTCGTTACGTAATTGACATTTTACACTTTTATTTGACGAAATATCAATGCAAGAATACGTTGTTATTCTGACCCAACTCGGCAATGGGATGTACAAACTCATTTTCTTTTTGCATTAAAGCGAAATGGTGTTTTAAACAAAGTGTAGGATTTCTCAGGTTCTGCTTTAGTTCGTTAAAAATGTGCTTTAGCTTGTCTAGAGTAGAAAACCCCAGTACATTTGCTAGAAGCCAATTGCATTGTGTCATGCCAATCTCTTTTTTATTCTTATTTATACCTGTATATATTTAACAACCTCGTTTACTTTGTGATGTACCCATGTAAATGTACATAGTTTTAAATGTTATGCCGTCACGTGACCTCAGGTAGTCCTATGTGTAATACTGTTACCAATATGTTTTGTGCAATTAAAGGAAAAAAAAGAAAAGTACACCTATGTTTGTTATGTATATGTTAATAATATGCTAAAATAATCCTGGGCCCGTATTCATGAAGCCGTTCACATGCTCAAGCATGGATTTTGTGCTCAAGCCTTATTTCTTGTTCTGGTTATAACTCAATAAATAAATCTTACTTTGTCAATGATTTGGAAACATTTTGAAGAGACTTAAAGCCAAATACTGTTTTCAATGTTTACATTTGACTTTTTGATTGTTTGACATGATCTAAGCGAGTTACCAGAAAGTTGGTTTGAGCACAGATTCCATGCTTGAGCATGAGAACAGTTTCATGAATACGGGCCCTGAGCTAGGTTATTTTTCAATACACATTTCTTTCAGGTGTTAACTTTTCTATGCAAAGTTAACTATATGAGCATGCGTTACAATAAGCAAATCTATACTAGTATCACTTACCAAAAGCTAATTTGCACACAAATGCTCTATTATGTGATCAATTGTGATAAAAATGTTGTTTCAACATGATGGGGAAATTCATTTTTGTGTTTATACAAAACATGGTTTAAACGTCTAAAGCTTGATAAAGGCGAAAAGTGATTTGTTCGGTTCCTTTATTCTTTCGAATATCTAAACGTAAAAGAGATATTTTAGTTACGCTTTATGAAGCAAGAATATATTTTATTTTAATTCATAACGAATTGAACCGATGATGTAAATAAGAAACATCAATTACAAAATTGGCTTGATAGGGTAATTAGAATTCATGCTGTGAGTTTGCAATAAAATGCAGGTAGATTATTTCCATTTTAAATGTTTATGCTATTTTTAAACAGTTTTAATTTAAAAAAAACACAACGTTGCATAACATTATATTGTAAAATCCCTAAAAAATCAGTAAATAGGGGTTTAGTGTTAATTCGGTTTTAAGTCTACGGTTGCACATCTTTGTTTTTGCTTTCGATTTGGGTATTTTCTTCTTTCATTTCATTTTCCAGTAAAGATTGCTATTTATAAGGTGTTTTGGAACTACTAGTATTTCTACTTTCGTTTTTGGTTTGTGATCCTAATGTATTGAGCGCGTCATTATATTTTCTACTTTTTGTTTGTGTTAGAATTCCTACTTCTGCTTAGAGGATTTCCTGGTTCCAGTTCTATTCTTGCATTAACCTTGGAGTTCCAATTATGTCCTTGAGTGGTGGCGTAGTCGAATCGTTTGCAAAATACTATTACTGCCTTTTGTTATTAAAGGGACCTGTGTCAGTGTCTTACGCAACACGATAATACCTGTGCATTATCTAGAACAGGAGTCATGATCTATGAGAAAAGCAGATGAAATAACCTCTAGAAAAATATAATAAAAAGTCGTATAAAGGTAACCTGAGATTAGTTTATAGTTTGTTTGAACTATGAAAATCATTGTTGTTTTGCAAACGGCTGTGGATTTGTTTCAATGGTAATTCACAAAGAGCTTAAATACTGAACAATTCATATCGGCGATTAATTGTCTGTAATTCGTCTCGGCTGTTAATATTTTTTAATTGATGGTTATAGTTTAAACTTGCATAAATGTTTTAAAAATACAGTATATTTGATTATGAAGCATAATCAATTTCAACAAAAGATACCTTTCAAATTTGGAAATATATTAAACGAAACTATTTGATTTCCATTAACCCGAAATGAAACGTATTGAAAATTTACTTTTTATATTTTTGATACATTGTATGTACATGTCCGTTTTTAGAAAATCTACCACATGTGCAGTTATCAATCAAGTGCTTAAAAGGCAACACAGTGGTTAGTCACTGAAAAAGATCTTATCTGATAGCCAAGTTTAAGATTGGTAATTTATTTTAATACGAATGGTAAATTTTGCAATCAACACCAAATCCTTCCGTCTTTCTGGAGGCCAAAATGTTGAACTGGCGATGTGCTGGATGCTAGGCAAATACATATATCTAAGTGGAAGAACAACAGAAACACGTTTTATCATACAATTTTAATATTTTGGAAACAGTGTACAAAAATGATGAATTTTCTACAGATCATATCAATGACTACATCGACTACCAGATGTTATATTTTCGTTGTCACTACCCCGTCCGTTCTCTCGTTGAGAAGATACGTGACAGCTGTGTAGCGTGCCAATATGTGAAAACATCTGATGTGTACATCAAGAAGGAGATGCTAACCCGTTCGGAACAGTTACGGTCTTATTTTCCTTGTGCTTTTTTCAGTGGAAATTTTGAATGTTTGAAAGCCAAGGCCTCTGCTAACGGAATGTTGCCGCGGTTGGTGATAATAAGGACGGGTTTGGATAGATAAATAACCCTTTTTCCGATATATGTGAGGTATATGTTGCCTCATAGCAGACTTTTGTTGTCAAAAAATAGCTACAAAACGGTGTCGGAGAATTCCAAGTTTTCATTTAGTAGTGCGATCTGTCCCCACGCCAGACATCTACTAAGTCTGGTGTCAAAGTCAGAGGAAACTCGGGACTTATTTTTGCCTTGATGAAAGGGCGGATAACCTCTAAATTTTGAAGAAATAAAATCACTCCCGGCATTGTTGACAGTGATCAAGGACACATTTGAATAAAATGAGGCAAAACCACGAGCCACAGAAAAGTTCCCTGCACCCCAAATGGTACCCGTAATGTCTCTTGTCAAGATAGGTCTACAACGAGTTTACCCACTTGCTGTTTCTTCTGTTCGTGTCATATTCCTGTATATGGAATTCGAATAAATGCGACAGACACTAGTTTTACCCAACAGTTAACCAAGGCAGACAATCTCAAATTTGATTATTGCAAATTTGCTTGGTGCTCCGATCGACTTTTTTGCAACATCGGAAACGTAGCTTGTGCCTTCCTGCCTACCGGGGTCCAACTGTCTCCAAACATTGTATACTTTGTGTAGATACCGTAGCCGGTCACAAGATCGTGGTTGAGGAAGGATGTCACTCGGTCTGCCATCATCAGGATGTAAACTTAATTCATGGTCATGATCTTTAGAATTGAAAATGTTTTAATTGCACTTCAAACCACAGCTCTTTTTTAAAGTAAACGATTATTTGTTCATTACAAGTAACGTGTGTATCCAGTTCTGATCATTATCAGGCGACCACACACTTCGATTTTTTTTCTAGGAAAAACTGTTCGAGTATTTAAGAAAGCTTTATTCAAGTATGTTTCAGGTGTACTCAGTTGAACGCAAGAATCATCATTCAGTCTGCACTTCTAAATTTCCTATTAGTGAAGCCCGGATTGATATTTTTTCTTTGATTTTGAGTTTGACCCTTAAGCTAACATTGTATGGAGTCTTTCTCATTGGTTTATCAATACTTGAGAGTTTCCTCAACTTTGATATGTTTTAAACAATTACGACCAGGATGATAATGATAATAATGATAATAATGATAATAATGACAATGTTAAGATAAATAAAAAATGCAAAGATTTCTTGAAAATAACAAATTCATGTTGACATGTAAACGGGTATTATGCAATAAATGTGTTGATTGTTAAACACTAAAGCGCTCTAATTTAACCAATTATAAGGGAAAATGTGCAACCGCTTTTGGCCATCGTATCAAGTCGTCTTTAAACCCAGCAACATCTGCTGGTAAGGAAAATGTCTGGGTCATCTACTTGACACAATGGGAAGTAGGTTAATTGCTGAGAAGGAAACTGACTGGTTTATCTACTTATAACCAAGATGGTTAAGTTATCTATCAGGAACGAAGGTGTCCATGTTTGAAGGCTCCACTATACTCAGTCATAGGGACCACTACAATTTGAAAATTAGCGAAAATTAGTAAAAAGTGAAAATTATCAATCCAGGGACGAAAAACGTTAATATCATACCAAATCATTTGAATGGATCTGAACTCAGTTTCAAACACCTTCTTTAACTTTAAGGGAAATTCTGGAACTTAAGATTATATGTTGGAAAGTAATATTGAAGTAAAGAAAAACATTCCTAAACGTAAGGGTTTAATGCAATAGAGAACAATAGGAGCTAAAGACTTGTTTAAGGAAACGTTTGTGAACCAGGGATGCGATTTGTACACAGGGGCATACGTGTTCTAAGGTGTAACAAATATGCTTATTTGTTGATATCTAATCCGCACGATAACATTTCTAGGTTGGTTGCTTTACTATTTTGTTTAGAGATAATTTACCTTATCTGGTATTACCCGAGAGTTCCGATATTAGCTGATATCGGGACCGAGGGTAATAGGGGGTATGTTATAAAATTGTCAAATCATAAACTTTTAATAAACAATGTCAGCTGCAATGAATAGTGTTTATTGTATGATCATTTTGACAGCATATCCTGATTAAGCTCTAAAAATCAATATCATTTGTTATCCTTTATAGATCTAGAAGAAAAGTTATTACAATTTCCTTAAGTTTACAGCCAGGCGAGTGGCTGACTTACATTACCCCACCATATATATGCTCTGCATGATTCACACGAAGTTAACTGTTTCTTCTTTATCTCTGAGCCTTTTAAGCATTTTACATCCCAATTACCATAATTGCAAGAAATGTTCTCATATTGATCGCATGATATTTGTGACAGCACCGGTAGTGAGCAGAGGATATGCCAACAGGTATTGAAGATCGAAATGACTACGTAACGCATATTCCGAATTTTGTTGGGAACACCATTGACATTTTCACAGAGTTAGCCGAAATCCAAACAGAGAAGTACATTACAAGATATTTGAAACACGGGTGACCAGAAGTCTTATTATTTAACCTATCATTAAAATGTATGACAGAGGGTTTAGCGATTTTATTTAGATTTCTAAACCAAATACTATGTAAAACATACAATTTAATGACTCTGCATATTTTCTGTTTAAATTCCGCCGATACATTGAACACTAGGGGGCGCATGTGTATTGTAGTTTAAGCTAAGATGGCGGACAATGATGCATTTGGCATTCTTCCTTCGAGCGAATGAAACTGGTGTAAACCATTACGAAATGTGTCATTTAACACCGGTATAAGCGGATGCATCGG